TTAAGATTCTATCCTTATTCTGTATGCTAGGCATTTTCATTATAATGTGCCTTGGTATAGATCTGTTGTAATTTTGTACATTTGGTGTCCTGTAAGCTGCTTGTATTTGATTTTCCAATTCATTTTTCATGTTTGGGAAATTTTCTGATACTATCTCATTGAAGATATTGTGCATTCCTTTGGATTGAAACTCTGTGGCTTCCTCTATCCCAATAACTCTTATATTTGGTCTTTTGAAGCTATCCCATAATTATTGGATGTTCTGCTCAAGGTTTTTTACTATCTTCACTGTGTGGTCAACTTTATTTTCCAGATTGTATACTTTGTCTTCATTATCTGATGTTCTGTGTTCCAAGTGATCTAGTCTGTTGGTGATGCTTTTTATTGAGTTTTTTTAATTTGGTTTATTATTTCCTTCATCTCAAGGATTTCTGATTTCTTTTTTTCAGAGTCTCTATCTCTTTCTTGAAGTAATCTTTTTCTACCTGTATTTGCTCCCTTATCTCTCTGTTGGTGTGATTAATGGATGCCTGTATTTGCTCCCTTATCTATTTATTGGTGTCTTCAATTGTTGCCTATATTTGCTCTCTTATCTGTTTGTTGAAGTGACCAATTTTTGCCTATATTTGCTCATTTAGGTCATTCTTTAATTCACAGACCATTTTAATTATGAACATTTTGAACTCCTTTTCTGACATTTTATCAACTGCACTGTCTATGGGTTCTGTTATTGTAGTATCCTGATTTGTTTGGGGCACTTTCCTCCCTTATTTTTTCATGTTGTCTATGGAATTTCCTTACTTGCAGTGTGGATCTGAGGTATTACAATTTCTACCCTATCATCTTGTAGCATCTGTGCAGATTATCTGTATTTCACCTTGGTGTTGGGCTTTCAGGCCCTGCCGGTGTCCCAGGACAGATGCTACTGCAATTATAGGTGTCAATAGCAGGAGGTAACTGGAGATAGCAGTGGAAAGTGCCCCAAGATGAATACAATGTCTTTCAGAGATGGGGCTGAAAGGGTGGGCCTTAGACTGGCTTTGGGATTCCTGTTCCAAGATGCAGCTGCTTCTAGGCCCTCTCTGTTGTCCAAGGTAGAGGCTAATGCATGGAGAAGGCTCTGAGGATGGCTGCAGTGTCTCAAGATGAAAGTAGGTTAGACCTGGGCTCCCAGGTGGTGGTGGGAGTGTGGCAGACCCAAACTTACCCTGGGCCCTAGCTCCTGCACAGGTCAGCCAGTTGGGTCTGAGTTGGGCCTAAGCTCTGGCAGGTGTCTGCTAGGGACGGGATAAACTTGGGCCTACCCTGGGCCCCAGGTCCTGCACAGGTCAGCAAGGCAAGTCTGAGCTGAGCCTGAGTGCAGCAGTATCTACTGGTGGGCAGAGGTAGTCCTGGGCCAAGCCTGAGCTCTGACTGGTGTCTGCCATTGATGGGATGGATTTGGGCCTACCATGGGCCTGAGCTCCTGCGCAGGTCAGCGAGGCAGATCTGGGCTCAGCCTGACTTTGGTGGGTATCTACCAGTGAGCAGAGGAGGTCCTGGGCTAAGCCTGAGCTCTGGCAGGTGTCTGCTGGTCACGGGGTGGTCTCAGGCCTACTTTGGGCAAGAGCTCCTGTGTAGGTCAGTGAGGCAGATCTGGGCTTAGTATATACTTTTTAATAATATTGCTTCTTCCAATCCATGTACACAGGATATCTATTTTATGTGTCCTCTTTAATTTCTTTCATCAGTGTTCTATAATTTTAATTTTTATTGTAGAGATCTTTCACCTCTAGGTATTTATTCCTAGTTGTTTTTGTGTGTTTGGTTTTAGTAGCTATTGTTAATAGGATTGCTATCTTTGTTTCTATTGCAGATAATTCACAGTGGCATATAGCAATGCTAGTGATATTTGTATATTTATTTTCTATCTTAAAATTTGCTGAATTTAACTTTTTAGTTCTGATTTTGTTGTTTTTGTTGGTGGTGTCTTTGGGGTTTTTCTACATATAAGATCATGTCATCTGAAAACAGTGACAATTTGACTTCCTCTTGATCAATTTTGATGCTTTTTATTATTTCTTTCTCTTGCCTGATTGGTCTGGCTAGGATTTCTAGTACTATGATAAGTGAAAGTGGGCATTATGGTCTTGTTGCAGATCTTAGAAAACTTTCAGCTTTTACCCATTTGGTATAATGTTAGCTATTGGCTTCTTCTAAATGGGCATTGTGTTGAGAAACATTCCTTCTTTACCTAATTTACCCCAGCATTTTCATTGTTAGAGATGTTGAATATTATAAATAAATAGTAAAGTGTATGAAAACCAAAAAGAGAGCAAGAAAGGTTGAATTTTAGCAAATGCTTTTTCTGCATCTCTTGAGATGATCATGTTGTATTTGTTCTTCATTCTGTTGATATGGCATATCACATGTTTTAGTCAGCTTTTCACTGCTGTGTCCAATACCTGACAAGAACAACTTAGAGAAGGAAAAGTTTATTTTGGCTAATGGACTAAAAGGTTCAGTCCATGGTCTGCCAACTCCATAGCCTTGGGCCTGCGGTGAGGCCCATGGCAGAAGGGTGTGGAAGAAGAAAGTTACTTGGAATGTGGCCACCAGAAGCAGAGTATGAGCTTTGCTCATCAGGGAGAATATATAAACCCCACAGTCATGCTTCCAGTGATCTTCTTCCTCTAGCCACACCTTAGCTGCTGACAGTTACTACCCCAGTTAATTCATATCAGTGGATTAATCCACTGATTAATACACAATTCTTATAATCTACTCATTTCACTTCTGAAAAAATCTGCATTGTCTCATACATGAGCTTTTGGGAGATATTTCAAATCTAAAACATAACATGTGCATCCTGCATCCCTGCAATGAAAACCACTTGATCATGATGAATAATCTTTTTAATGTGCTGTTGGTTTGGGTTTACTAATATTTTGTTGAGGATTTTTCAATCTATGATCATCAAGGATATCAGCCTATAATTTTCTTATCAGCATAAAGCTGGCCTCATAGAATTTGTTTCAAAGAATTGCCTCCGTATCAATTTTTTTAATCGTTTAGTTTTCTTTTTGTTGTTATACCCTTGTCTGGTTATGGCATCAGGGTAATACTGACATCATAGACTGTGGTTAGACTAACTCCTACTTTTTTAGTTTTTTAAAATAATTTGAGAAGAATTGGTATTAGTTCTTCTCAAAGTGTTTGGTAGAATTCAGCAGTGAAGTAATCTGTCTCTGGGCTTTTCTTTAATGGAAAACTTATTACGAATTCATCAACTTGTTACTTGTTACTGGTCAGTTCAACTTTCCTATTTGTCATGATTCAGTCTTGATAAGGTGCATGTGTCCAGGATTTTGTCCATTTCTTGGCTATTAAGTTTGCTGGGATATAGTTGCTCATAATTCCTATGATCTTTTATATGCCTGTGGTATCAACTATAATGTCTCCCTTTTCATCTCTGATTTTATTTGTGTCTTTTCTCTTTTTCTTGGTCAAGCTAAGTATTGTCAATTTTTTTTAATCTTCTTAAAGAACCAGCTCTTTGTTTCATTGATTTTTTTACATTCTTTTAAGTGTCTATTTCATTTACTTCTTATCTTTATTCTTTCCTTCTACTAATTTTAGGTTTTGTTTGATCTTTTTCTTCTAATTCTTTGAGATGCAGCAATAGTTTGCTGTTTGAGATCAGCATGAACCAGGGAATACCTCAAAAAGGTAGTCCATTCTCCCCAATCCTCTCCCATGGGTCAAGGTAGGCCCACATGCCTCATCCATAGTCACTGGCCTGTGGTCCAGCATTGTAGGATTCTAACTCTGGTCAGAATCACTCTAAAGGACCAACCCTAGACTCCTCTGCCACTAATGTGCAGCATTTTTGACTGAATGTGTACCATGTGTAGTATTGTTCTGCGTGGGTTTCACATTATATAAATTTTAGTGCATCATTTTGTTCTATTTCTTTGTTTTCTACACAGCACTCTTTTTTAGATCCATTCATTTGCTCTCTGTGTACATCTTGTTTATTGCTTCTCACTAATTCATAGTAATCAAGGTGCACCTTCACCACATTTTATTTATCTATATTCACAGGGATAAAAATCCTCCAACTCCTTGCTCACAAAAAAACACTGCATTAAACAACAACACTGTACAGGCTAAGAAATACATTTGGGTGGGTTGAATTTAGTCTTTGCACTGTCCAATTTGTTTACAGCCACTAATCTAGACAAACCTCTTGCTTAATACCTAGAATTTCTTATCTCCTAGTTCCAAAAAACATAGTAAAAATAAAAAAAATCAATGAACACATTTGCAAAATTGTTTCACTCACAAACATCGGAGATGCTATTACATGTGACCAAGATGACATTTTGTAAGAGAAAAGTCTTTAACTGCTAAGTCAATAAGTAAAGCAAGCCTCCTTATCCTAGGAAATATTAAACAGCAGGTACCCATTACCATTTTGTTGCCTTCTTACCATCTAACATGCAAGGTGTTATTTTAGATCAGTGAAAAAAGAGTAGGTTCTGAGCAATTGGACTCCTCCCTCCGAGTTACAGACATGTCTTTCCCAATCTCAAGTTAAACACATAGAAATTTCCTATTTACAAATTAGTTGAGATGAGAATCGAAATCAGGAAAGCATATAAGAAAATGCTAAGCTAAGCTATATCCTTAAATCACAAGTCCTGTTTAAAAAGCACAATAAAAATCCATTATTAAATCACTTCAGTTAAGAAGCCTATTCCACCTTTCCTTAAATTAATCTCCCACTGCTATTTTTGCTTGGTTTCCTTGATCTACATATGAGTCATCTCTACCAGATTGTCTGGGAGTCAAGTCTGAATCAAGTTAAAGGTGGGGTATTGTGGGAAAGCCATTTGCTAAGAACCATTTGCTAAGAAAACATCTAGAACTTTTCAAGTGTAAAGAAACAACCACACTGAATAAAAAACTCCTTAAAGATTAAAAAAAAATTCCTCAATAACAGGGTAATTTGAACATACTTGCATTCTCTGTCAAAACCTTGGGCATACGCTGACGGTTCATCAGGAGTGGGAAAGGATCTCTCCCATCATTCCGTTCATGGACCTCTCGAATCTCCACCGTACCATCCATTAGATAGTAATGAATGATATAGGTCCGACATTCACCAAACATACTGTCTGTATCATCCCAGATTGCATAGAATCGAAGAACCTTTGTGGAATCCAAAGTAAAAACTTAAGTAAGAATCCTAGAACTGGAGAGTTTAACTTACTTTGGCATTATACATGAGACAATGATGAAATGATTATTTGGAAAGACTGTGATAATTTCAGATGACAAATGGAAAAAAAGAAATATTCATCAAAGATCCTAAAACATCTTGGGGTACATATCAGATGTTAATAGCTGGAGAGAAGAAAAGGCTTATTTGTACTAAGAAGAGCTTACTTTAACTCAAAATGTTCATCAATGAAAGAGAAGCTGAATTAAAAGAGCAAAGAGGTACTCTGTACAGTGGCTTACATAAATCAATAAAGATACATGTGAATGGTTGATATATAATTAGTATGAAAAGATGGAAAGAATTTTCATCTATTAACTATTAACCAGTCTATTTTTTTCTGGTTCTATTAGCACACATCTTCTAGTAATAGAATCAACATAATCTTTAAATAGCAATTAATAACAGATAATGACTAATACAAAGAAAATCCTTAAAAGATGACCTTAGCACTAGGTATCATCTTCTCAACAAAAAGAAATTTAACTTCTGGGAGAGGTGGGAAAATAACCAAGTATTAAGGGTAATTTTTCTCTTTTCACTTCCTCTTTACTAGGGAAAGAAGATTCAATCAGTTTACACACTTGGACTTACCAGGAGAAGAATTAGGAAGGTTGGAACAGAGAATCGGAAAATGTTCACAATATTCTGTACTCCAACATTAGCATAACATTTAACAAGGAAGCATTTATACTGAGGTTTCTGTGAAATTAACTATTTTAATATTAGAAACTAATAAATATGCAACAGCTTTGAAATTTTCCAATAATCCACTTCAAGTTTTCCAAAAAGATTCTATGAAATTAATGCATTTTAGGGGAAAGAAATGGTCAACTGAAAATGTAAAGTGGGGGTAGATGTAGCTCAGGATGTGAACATATGTTGAGATTCACAAAACTTAACTCCACAATCTTCTTTTGATCTCTAGTAAGAAACTTAGCCATTGGCATAACTCTAATCCTACATGAAACCAAAAAGACAGCACTATATCCAAATGGTTAAATTATAGATATAATATTTTAAAGTCATTACCAATAAAGCTAGTAAAACAGCTTGCCAATAAACACATGTGCCATATTTTGAAACAAGTTCACCTTCTTTCCCAGGTTACTTACCTGTTTATCAAAGGTGAGAAACTGCTTAAGTTGATCAAAGTCCGATGGGGTGACATACTTACGAGGAGGCTGTTTCCGGAGTTCAGTGTAAGGATCAAGAGCCATCTTTTCTGGTGGATTTAATTCAATTCCTTGACTTTCCAAATATACCTAAATATTTCAAAATTAATAATGATCATTTTTCTTAGAGCTTCTTGGAATAAGTAATAAACTGATAGTATAAAATAGGTGCAATAATAATACATATGCCATTATGCAAATTAACCGCTAGTTTGTAGCTTGAGCATATCATAGAAATATTATCTTCAGTTAACTTTATGGTGATAGAAATAATGATTGATATTTACCCAAAGTATTCCATATTCTATAAAATTGGTAGGTTATTTGCTAGGTTAGTTGGGAGACATAATGGTAAGGTAACTGGATTCAAATATGAATTTAGATGAATCAAGTTAGGTGCCCAAGAGAAGAGTAAATCCTAGAATTACTGTGTGTGTATTTTGCTTCAAAACACACATCTGGAACTTAATTATGTTTTCAACAGTATGCAATTCACATTTGGTCTGCAAGCAAGCTGAACAATGGCTAAGATGAAATCGTATCCCAACTTTCCAATTTACTTAAAACAAGTATATTATTAAATTGATCTCCCTCACCAAAAGGAAAAGAAAGCATAACCACTGGTTATTTTAGACCAAAAAATGTTTTAGCAAAATAGGAAAGATAAATCAAGTGTTCATATCTCACTAGAAAAAGTCAATAAAATCAACTGAATTTGATAAGATCTTCAATTTTGTTTTTCTAATTACAAATACAAATATCATTTTCTAAGTAATTTTCTTTTTTTTAATTTTTTATTGTGGGTTGTTCAAAACATTACAAATTTCTTGACATATCATATTCCACACTTTGATTCAAGTGGGTTATGAACTCCCACCTTCACCCCATACAGATTGCAGAATCACATCAGTTACACATCCATTGATTTACAAATTGCCATACTAGTGTCTGTTGTGCTCCACTGCCTTTCCCATCCTCCACCCTCCCCCCTCCCCACCTCTCCCCTCCCCTCCCCTCCTCTCTCTCTACCTCCTCCACTGTATAACCCTGAGGGTCTCCTTCCATTACCATGCAATTTTCCTTCTCTCTCCCTTTCCCTCCCACCTCTCATCCCTGTTAAATGTTAATCTTCTTCTCCTGCTCTTCGTCCCTACACTGTTCTTAGTTACTCTCCTTATATCAAAGAAGACATTTGGCATTTGTTTTTTAGGGATTGGCTAGCTTCACTTAGCATAATCTGCTCTAATGCCATCCATTTCCCTGTAAATTCTATGATTTTGTCATTTTTTAATGCAGAGTAATACTCCATTGTGTATAAATGCCACATTTTTTTTATCCATTCGTCTATTGAAGGGCATCTAGGTTGGTTCCACAGTCTTGCTATTGTGAACTGTGCTGCTATGAACATCGATGTAGCAGTGTCCCTGTAGCATGCTCT